GGTCGCGAAAGAAGCAGGCAAACGCTCCAGAGTCGAGCGTGAAGGAGGGCGACGCAGTAGCGTCCGCCAGCGAAGGGGCTAGCGTGGAGCCTAGGCTAAACAGGGCAGGGGGTCCTACGCCAGACGCAGCAGGGGAACCTAGACTACACACAGCGGACATACCTACGCTAAGAAACACTGGGTAATAGGGTCCAATCACACTAGATTCATCAGTATACATGGCATACAAAGCAGACCTGATATGATCCATGTCCATCTCAAAGACAGGCACACGACGACGCACCAGGCTATACTAGTCGGGGGGGTCCGCCATGGGGCCGAAGCGGAGACGGAAGAGATCGTCGAGGCGGCGGTAGCATCGTGCGGCGGTGTGACCGGGGCGGTCACAGACGGTTTTGTGGTGGGGGCCGGACTGAAGCTGGTACTGGCAGGTGACCACACTGGAGCCGCCACCCGACACCGAGCTGCGCCCCCCACCACCACCAGAACCGCCAGGCCACCACGGCGGCGGGGGCGCCCACGGCGACTGCTGCTGCTGCTACGGCGGCTGCTGCTGCTGCTGAGGCTGCTGCTGATGAGGGTGCTACTCCGGGGCACCAGCACCGGTCCCCTCGTTTTCACCACCATCCCCTCCACCACCTCCGCCACCCGCGCCACCCCTTCCGTTGCCACGCCCCCCCCGGGCCCGGTGTCCCCTACCTTGACGCGACTGCGCTGAGGCCGCCATAGCGATCTCAGCAGCAGGGGCCGTCTCAACAGCAACGGCAAAGGCGTCATAGTAAGTGCACTGGAAGATAGGGACCGCCGCAGTACCGCTTGACTGAGCGATAGTGCGCTGGCGGGTCTCTATCGCAGTCAGGGTAGTGACAAAGTCACTGAGGGTGAGGTCAAGGAAGTGGTCGCGGGCAGTGGCTAGGCGGTCAGGAAGACGCGTGGCAAGGAAGTAGAGGGTAGCGCCGAGGGTGGGAGGCAGTACAAGAAGCTAAGCCTTAGTGCTAGCAGCGCGGTAGCTAGTCTCTAGTGCGCGCAAGTGAGTGGCGAGATCAGCGACAGTGGGAAACGACGTAAGGTCAGGGAAGAGCAGGGGGAGGAGGAGACGACCGGAAGAGGCAGAGGAGGGAGTAGAATAGCCTGCGCAGTCTCTAGGGCCTGATAGCGGGGGCGCTCAGACAGGGGGAGGGCGCAACTGATAGCAAGCTGCGCAACTGCGTCACGCGTCTCCCTGACGGAGCGAGCGAGCTCAGCAGCTGCAAAGGCCTCACGCTCAGCGCGCGTGGGGGCGTCAGAGAGGGCAGCAGGTAGGTTGGGGTAGGGGATCTTACCGACGATGTGAACGGACAGAGATTGGCCATCCTGGCGCTGTCTTCTCAACGAGCGGCGGAGGTCGGCGAGCCACGCCTCAAATTCGATCGCCTGACCCTCCGCGTCCAGGCGGAGCACAGAGTCTGCCATCGCCACGGCTGCAGCTGCTGACCGCCGCTAGGGGAGGGGGGAAGAGAGGGCTATGTAGAGCAGTGGTGGAGACGGCCTGCTGGATCGCCGGCACAGAAGGGGGAACCAAGGCCGGTAGGTCGGGGCGGCACAGCAGCACGGCGGCTCGACGACTCGGCAACTCGGCGACGCTACGGCTCTGCTACTCGGCAGGTTGGCGGCACGACGAAGCGGTGGCGCGGCTACTCGGCGGGTCGGCGAGCCGGCTACGCAGCGGCTAGGCGGCTCGGCGGTAAAGCGGCGCGGCGCGGCTCGGCGACGCAGCGGCTCGGCGGCACGGCGCGGTGCAGCGTGACGGGGCGGCACGGCGCGATGGCACGGCGCAGCGTGACGGGGCCGGTGGGGCGCGACGGGGCCAGTGCAGTCGAGCGGGTCCGGCGCGATGGGACAGGGCCGGCGGGGCCGTACGGGGCCGGTACGGCGTGACGGGGCCGGCACGGCTTAGCGGGGCCGGCGTGATGGGACGGGGCCGGCGCGGCGTGACGGGGCCGGCGCGGCGTGACGGGGCCGGCGCGGTGGGACGGGGCGCGACGTGATGGGGCCGGCGCGGTGGGACGGGGCGCGGCGGCACGACGTGACGGGGACGGCGCGGGGGGATGGGGCCGGCGCGGCGTGACGGGGCTGGCGCGGTGTAGCGGGGCCGGCGTGGCCGGACGGGGGGGCACGGCGTGACGTGGCCAGCATAGGGGAACAGGGCCGGCGCGGGGTGATGGGGCCGGCGCGGCGTAGCGGGGACGGCGCGGCAGGACAGGGCCGGCGCGGCGGGACGGGGCCAGCGCGGCTTAGCGGGGACGGCGCGATGGGACGGGGCCGGCGCGGCGTGGAGGGGCCGGCGTGGCAGGACGGGGCCGGCGCGGCGTGACGGGGCGCGGGCTAGGGCGCGGTCTAAGGCTAACGTTAAGGCTAGGGGCGGAAGCGTAGGCGGGGAGAGGGGGACCTAAGCTAGTGTGATACCATGACTAGAGGCTTCAATCAGCGTGAGAGTGTGGACTTCTTTCAGACGATCGCCCCGACCCCAAAGATGACTACTCTTCGGGTGCTGCTACACGTAGCAGCACAGCGTGACTACGAGTTATACTCCCTCGACTTCTCTACATCGTTCCTTCAGGGCAGTTTGCATGGGCAGGTCTATCTGCGCCGCCCGCTAGGCTTCACCGGCACCTTCGCTCTTGGGATCGAGTGGCGTCTCTGGCGCCCGTTTTACGGCCTGCGGCAGGCGCCCTGTACGTGGCTCGACACGTTGCGTGCTACGTTAGCTGACCTGTAGTTCTTTCCGTCCTCTGCAGACCATTCGCTCTTCGTTCGTTCAGGCTAGATTCCGTTCTACGTCCTTGTCTACGTAGACGACCTGGTCTTCGCTACTGCAGACAGAGACGCACTGGCCTCCGTGAAGGCTAAGCTGCTCAGGAGACACACCTGCACTGACCTAGGAGAGTTGCGCCGCTACCTTGGCCTGCGGATCTCCAAGGACAAAGCAGCGTGCACCATCACTCTCACACAGTCACACTTGGTGCGCCAGGTCCTTCAGGGGTTCACTCTTCAGTTCTCCTCTGCACAGCCCACACCTATGCCAGTAGACCACAGGCTCTCGGCTCCAGTCTCAGAGGAGGCGGTGGAGCCTAGTTGTCCGTACGCAGAGCTGGTGGGTTGCCTCATGTACCTAATGACTTGCACTCGTCCAGATGTCGCATACCTTCTCAGCATCCTGGCTTGCTTTGTGGCAAAAGGCAGACACCGACCGCAGCACTGGTCGGCCGCTAAGAGGGTTTTGCGTTATCTAGCAAGTACATCGGGCATAGGGCTAGTGCTAGGAGGACGCAGGCCAGTGGTCCTTACAGGGGACACGGACGCTTCGTGGGCGGATGACGCTAAGACGCTCAGGTCTTCCCAGTGCTACTGCTTTAGCCTTGGTGCAGGCGCCATCTCGTAGAGGTCCACCCTCTCGTCTTTTGTTGCACAGTCTAACTGTGAGGCTGAGATCTACGCCGGTGCCATGGCGGCACAGGAGCTCCGTTGGCTGACCCTTTTGCTCATTGACTTAGGTGAGCGGCCTAGCTCTGCCCCGGTCCTATACGCTGACAACAGGGCCATGATCCTCCTGTGTCAGGAGCCTCGATTGGAGGGCAGAGCGAAGCACATCCAGCTGCGGTACTTCCTCCTGCGCGAGCTACAGCTGCGCCACCAGGCCCGTGTAGTACACTTGGCCTCTGGTGCCAACACAGCTGATATCTTTACTAAGGCACTTGCGCCTAAAGATCATCAGCGGCACTGTGTATAGCTTGGCCTAGTTCATGTAGTCTCTCACTTGCTAGGGCCTTGATTGTATACTACTCTTTTATATATTCTCCTGACTGGCCTTATGGCTTCTGTTCTAGTGACCGGACTAGTAGTGCCGCCCTGGTTTGCTGTTGTCTAGTTTGTACTCTTCTGACTGGTCTTCGGACCCTTGCCTCAGAGGTTGGACTAGTAGTGCCACCCTGAGCTGCACGTCTCTTGTCAGGCACTATCCCTTGTCTTGCCTAGGGGGTGTGTCAACATATATTTGTATATGTTTATAGGATAGCTAGGTGCATGCCCATAGAGAGTACAACACCTAGCACAAAACTACCCTGTATCGTCTTTTCTAATTTATTCCGCTACTCCGAGAAAAGAAGTTGATTTTTATGCAGATGGAGCCAAATGAGAGCATTATCGACTACGTCCACAGGGCTGTGCTTTACAGCAGTGAGTTGAAGGCTATGGGCGCAGAAGAAACAGAGGATGACCTGATAGCTTGCATCCTTAGTGGATTGCCAAAGGAGTGGGAGGTTGCCAGTATGGCCCTTGCGTGCAACCCACCTACAGACATGACTGAGTTTCTGGTGATGCTGCAGGATCTTTAATTGATGAAAGCCGAGACAACGAGAACGGAAGAGGTTGCTGGTGGAATTAGTAAGGGCTAGTCTACCATGGTAGTGAGTGCTGTAGCAGCTGTATCGGGGAAAAGATGTAGTGGACCTTGTTTCATTGTGGGAAGAGAGGACATAAGGCATTAGACTGCTTTAAAAACCCACGCAGCAGCAACTTCAAGGGGGCAAGAGCACAGACTTGGGAATAGGGCTCAAAAGTTTGCAGAAAATTGCAGCTATTGCTGAAAGTACGGCCATCGGGGAATGAATTGTTTCTCTAATTCTAAGATAAAATTATTTAAAGGCCAATAGGATGTACTTCCATCTTAAAATTACTCGTGAGGGTGGATGTAGAGTGTGTCTACCGTACGTAAAAAGGTTTACAAGTTAATTAATGACCTGTATCACTGATGACAAGCTGCAACGGTTCTATATCGGAAGTGTCGAGAGCGGGGATATATCGTGTAAAGAAGCGCGCCAGCTGCCCCTCCCCAATTTCCAAACTTGGCCTTCCACCCTCGAGATCTCTAGCAGGCCTCCCCCCAACCTGACCTCGAGATCTACGTCCACCTTTCACCCTTGCCTCGAGAAAGAGCCCGTTTGTCAGGGAACCGCACATCCCTCCCAACAGATCTGTCGTAACGGAGAGCACTTGTAGTTCCTGCCACTTTCCATTTATGGGAAGCCTGGTCATTTCAAGTCGCTGCATTTCCTGCATACACTATCTAAACAGTAACAAGTGCGTTTCCACATTTCCTGGTGGCTGCACATTGATTTCTGCCCGGAATGCGGCGTTCAAAGTCTGGCTAAACGACGGATGGGAAGGAAGAGCGTAGCTTTGGGGTCTCGCTTCCCGCGCTAGCTCTACCTGGTGGCGTGCGCCGTTGCTTCTCAGCATGGCGTTCACGATTCGGTTTAGAGCACCGGCTTCTCTGCTTAGGGACGCGAATGGTAGCAGCAGCGACGACATTCCTCTCGCCAGCGGCAACAATAGCAGCATTACCAGCAGCAGCGGCAACATTAGTAGCGGTAGCACCACTTCCAGCAGCACGCCTCGTTCTGTCAACGAGCAAACAACGGCTACGATAACGCAGCCAGCAGCCTCCCTCGTGGACTATCACATAGCCGTTGATCCGCAGGAGCCGCTCCAATCGGCGTTCGACAGGCTGTTCCAGTCCCACTTGCCGCACTGCTGCCTGCCAGGTCAGCAGACACGTCAGCAGCAGGATGACGTGGCGAATGCCGGCGACCAGAAGGGACGGGCGGGGAAAAGCATGGATGAGCAGAAGCAGCCTGTGCGGTTTATCGCTGTCGGACAAGTGGTGTACCTATCCCCGGACTTATCCGCTGAGAAGGCCAAGCTTAAATCGGGTACAGTGGTCAAAGTGCTTCCCATGAAATTGAGAGAGGCGAAAGGAGGGGATGGAGAGGACGCAGGGGGTAGCAAAAGCGGCGTCCCAAGCGATACTCTTGTCTCTGATACTGTTCGTGTTTCGGTCAACCCGGATCCCGTGCCACCTTCCCCTACTGCTGTCTCTGACCCGCCTGTCTCCGCGCCTGCATCTGCTCCTGCCTCTGCGCCTGCCTCTGCGCCTGCCTCTGCGCCTGCCTCTGCGCCTGCCTCTGCGCCTGCCTGTGCGCCTGCCTGTGAACCTGCCTGTGCGCCTGCCTCTGTGCCTGAATCTGCGCCTGTCTCCGCGCCTTCCGCTGCACCTGCCTCCGCGCCTGCCGCTGCGTCTTCCTCTCTCTCTGCGCCTACCACCAGCGGCGGCAACACCACCACCACCGCCAGCACCAGCAGGTGCGTCAGCAGCAGCAGGCGTCTCAACCGGCCCGGCATCACGAGCTCGTTGGACTACGAGCCCATCTCCCGGCCGCACATGGTGCACTACACCGACGTGAGCCTCCCCTGGAACCACGCCCTCTGCGCCTGCTGCCTCACGCGCATCCTCCACCCCTCCGCTCCCGCCACCTACCAACCCACCACCTACCAGACCGCCACCCCCAACGCCCTCCGCCTGCACCTTCAGCAGCCCATCTGCGACAGCATCACGCCGTACCAGTTCAACAACCGGCCGTCCCAAGCCGTCCTCGCCTATTCCGCCACTGTTCCGGTGCAGAGCGTCTGGGGTCCTCTTGGCCCGGGTGTAGGGCGGGGGGGAAGCGGGCCCACTGCTCGTGCTGGTAGGGGTGGTGGGGTTGGGGGTATGTCTGGGGCTGAGATCTCCAGTGCTCCCCCTGCCACGCAGTACAAGTGGAAGGCGGAATTCGCGCCCATGCCCGCGGCTGAAGGGATGTTTCTCGAGTGGATGGCGGAGCCACGTGTCGGCCTGCTATTGGACTTGGAGGTGGTCAGGTCCCAGCTGGCAGATATGATGGGGATTTGCGACCTCGCAGCGGCAAGTGGCGGAGCTACAAGCATTGGTGCGACAACCTCTCGTGCTACAGCCGTGGGTGCTACAGCTGCTGCTGGTGCGGCCACCTCTCGTGCTTCAATTGCTGGTGCTACAACCTCTCGCGCTACAACCTCTCGGGCTACAACCTCTCGCGCTACAGCCTCTCCCAAGCCCGTCTGGTGGTGCTGCTGGCAGTGCAGCGCGTGCTGGACCGCCTACCGCCACTGCCTCGCCGTGGCTACCTTCCTCGTGCTTGTAGCGAGGCTCCCCCGCATAGTCACGCTCTGGCGGGTGCACATGAAAGCCTGCTACGACGTGTTTCCCGCGCTGGCGATGTGCTTCAATGCGGGGAGGCAGATAGGGGGGCTGGGGGGCAGGCAGGCGGAGAGGCGGGCAAGCAGGCAGGCGGGGAAGCAGGCGGGGAGGCAGGGAGGTGGGGAGGAGGAGAAGGATTGCTTTGGGTCGATTCTGCTGCAGGTGCTGGGGGTGAAAGGGAAGGCGGAGCTGGAGTCGGGGTTCGCTGCTCACGTGCTGCCGCTGCTGCCGGGGGGGAGACGAGCGCACGGGGGGATGAGAGGACGAGGAGGGGGAGGGGGAGGGGGAGGGGGGATTGGTCTGTGGGAGAGGGAAGGGGGAGAGGAGTGGAGGGAGGGGTTGAGGGGTTTGGAGTGGGAGGAGTATGTGGAGCGCATAGGGGAAATTATCTCCCGAGGAGGGCTGGAGGCTGAACCGTACAGCTGCAGCCACTGCAGCGCAAACGAGGGCGCAAGGGGGAGAGGGGACGGGTGTAGGAGGCATCACGGCAGCAGCACTACCTGGAGCAGTGGCATGGTCGTTACGGGAGTTGACCCCACAGATTTTGCTCTCCGGGCCACTCTGCAACTGTGTGTGCCACGCGCTGCTGTGTTCGGCGCACAGGCGTTTACCGAGTCGTGCAATAACAGGTACAAGGACATGGTGGAGGATGCTGCTGTGGAGGCAGCACGGCAGAGACTGGCAGAGCGGGAGGGAGGTGGAGGGGGAGGGAGGGATGGAGGTGGGGAGGAGCAAGTGAAGGAATCACAAGAAGTGTCGGCAGCAGCAGCAGGAGGAGCTGCTAGCGCTTCAAGCAGTGCTGCAGCTATGAACAATGCTCGCCTCGTGCCGGTGAACAGTAACCCAGTCGTGGCACTGTTCACCTACCGGGCGGCCTGCATCCTCCAATGGGTGCGAGTCTACGGCCCCCGGGTCAACCCCCCCAGCTACTGCACCCGCAACAACCCGGAAAGGCCAGCCCCGGCCCTCCCGCACCCAGTGCACGACCTCCCAAGCCTGCTGGTCAGATTCGGCGCCACCCCCAAGCCTATGGGCGTGCCAGGTTCGGAAGGCTCCGGCCTGCAGGAATCTGGCCTGGTTTCGGGGTGGGAGGAATTTCCAGCGGGGGACAGGGAAGCACTGGCGGCTCATGAGAAGGCGCACGGGGCACAGGGGGGGTTCCTGGGGCTGAACTCGTTCTGCACGGGGAGCTTCCATGACGGCGTGTTTGACCGCAGGGAGATGCTCGTCGAGTGGAACCTTGGGCTTCAGACTGGGAGTGCCCCCTCCGAGGGGCTGCAGCAGAGTGGGAGCGCCACTGGCCCCCTTGAGGAGTACAGACACGCGAACGCTCTAAGTGGCCGCAACACAGGCAGTCCCGCGTTTGCGACCGTGGCGGACCGGGTTGAGGAGTTTCTCAGAAGGTTCTCCCCGAAGCGGCAGGCAAAGGAGGGGCGGGGCGGGCCACTGGCGCGTGCAATCACAGACTGGGTCGCTCGCCTGAACCTGGGCGATAAAAGCTGGACAGCTGTCGCGCTGGGGGGATTCTCGCCCGCCAAGTTAAAGCCCATGCTGCGATCCTCGAAGGAGGTGGATGCTTTCCTTGAGTTCCTGGCTGCCATGACAGACCTCACGATCCTCACCCCCGCCTGCAACTGCTGCCAGATGTGCTTCAACATGCTCTATAAGGCCGTCACCCCCGCCTCCCTCGTGGCGTCCTTCGCCTACCGGCCGTCTTCTGTGCTGCTCCGCTGCATCCTCTCACTCTACTGCCCGCGCTCCACTCAGGTGAGAGACCTACTGGACCCTCTGGTTACAATGCCCCTCCTCTGTCCTCTTCCACTGCATCCTCTCGCTCTACCGCCCGTGCTCCACACAGGTGAGGGACCGTTTTTGAGGCACCTAGAAAGCACACCCCCGCCTCCCTTGTGACTTCTTTCGCCTTCTGGCCTTCTTTGGTGCTGCTGCTCCGCTGCCTCTTCCTCTCACTTTACCGCCCGCCCCGCGCTCCCGTCAGGTGAGAGACCTACTGATTTTGGTGGGTATCCCTCCCCTGAGTCGACTGAAAAGCCATCTGGTTACAATGCCCCTCCTCTGTCCTCTGCTGGAAGGGGTGTTGGAGCAGAAGCGGCTGCGTTTCCTCTACACCGCATCCATGCTGTTCTCTCTAACACCCCCCCCCCCCTTTCCCCCAGGTGAAAGACCTCCTGAACTCTCTGGCCATCCCCCCCCTGCCAGACCTGGTGCCAGACAGGCTCGCGGCCCCCCTGCTGGAAGGGGTGTTGGAGCAGAAGCGGCTGCACTTCCTCTACACTGCATCCGTGCTGCTGTCCCGAGAGGGCGGGGTGAACGATGTCATGGAGCTGAAGCGGGGAGACGGGGCGGTGAGGACCGGGGAGGAGGTGCAGCAGGGGGAGTGGTGGATGTGGGAGGAGGTGGACACGTGGAGGAATGCAGTGCTGAGAGCGTGGCCGGTGATGGAGATGATGCATGAGGCGGTGCATAGCTGGGCGGCTACTGGGGCGGAGGAGCGGGTGCGGGATTGCTGTGCGGAAATGAGGCGGAAGGCGAGGGACTGTGGGGAGATTACGAGGAGGGAGGAGAGGGCGCTGGTGGATAAGATGGTCGCTGCTGCTGGTGCTGCTGCTGGTGCTGATGGTGCTGGGACTGCTGGTGTTGCTGCTGCTGCTGCTCCTGGTGTTGGTGTTGGTGGGGAAGGGGTGAAGATCGCACCGGCGTACCTGGTGCCCTGGGTGGGTGGGGTGAACCCTTTTGCGTGTCTGAGGGAGATGCTGCTGGGGGAGACGTGCTACTGGGAGCTCTCAGAGGGGGGGAGGCGTGTGGGGGCAACACCTGGGGCAGGCTCGTCTGCTGCTGCTTCGGATGTGAGAGGAGGAGCGGCAGCGGCAGCAGGAGGAGGAGCAGCAGCGGCGGCAGCAGGGGGGGCTCGATGCTGTGCGTTCCCGGGGTGTGGGAGGGCGGGGAGGGCAGGGAGAGCGCCCCTGAAGGCATGCTCGCGGTGCGGCCAGGCGGCCTACTGCGACCGGGACTGCCAAAGAGCCCACTGGGCCGCACACAAGCTCCAGTGTCAGCCTAGGAGGTAGCAAAGGGGAAGGGAGAGGCTGCTGTTGCTGCTGCTGCTGAAGGGAGAGGGCAGCAGCTGGAGCACAATGCTATGCGTTTTCGGGGTGTGGCAAGGCGGGGAGGGCGGGGATAGTGCTGCTGAAAGCATGCTTGCGGTGTGGCCAGGCTGTCTACTACGACAGGGACTGCCAGAGGGCGCACTGGGCCGTGCACAAGCTCCAGTGTCAGCCTAGGTGATAGCCAAGGGGAAGTGGAAAGGGGCGGGTGAAGGAATAGGTAAAAGGGGCGGTTTCGAAGGGCTGGGCAGCTCTTGAGGCGGACGAACGTTTGGGAGCGTGCCCAGAGGCGGGGCAGGCTCATGTCATACGGCTACAGGAGGAGCGATGCTGCCTACTGCACAAGGAAGTGCAACAAGGGTTTAGGGTGCGGCAAGACTCACGCTATATTTTCTCCCCGTCTCCATGTTTACTGTAGGGGTCGAGCTGAGTGTCGAGTCATACTGACATTGATTGACATGTCAGTCAAAACGTGTTTGCTTGGCTTTCTGTTTTTGCTACTGTTGATGGAGGGCACGAAGCAAGATTTATCGCATCTTACTTTACTAGAAGTGGAGCTACTAAAAGCAATACGGGGTTTCAGCCTGTGAAGGAAATAATGAGCATACTTGTGTTGGATTAAAGTGGCTCTATATTTATGTTCAGCTTCCTTAAAGTGAACATAATATGGTACAGTACCGTAGAGTGATCACCTCAGCGTTCCTATCTGTTAGCCTTCCCACGCGATCATATCGAGGTCGTTTTCAAATCCATCGGGAAATCTAAGGCAGGAGCGACCAAGCCAAACTCGCGATCAGGGTTGCAGTTGCAGAATAGGCTTCAGCGAAGAACGAGCACGGGACCCTGGCTAGCGATGCCATGGTGTAGCCGACAAAGGGTCGTTTCGGCGGGATCCAGTGTGTTCATGAAGCCATCGCGTTGCCACTCGGGCTCGCTCAGATAAATCAGTCGCCCTTTTTCGAGTCTCGATATAAGAGCATTCGCTCATGGGAACTTTCCAAGACGTTCATTTGTCGCCTCGGAGGCGTCGCAGGGCGTCGTGGATGTCGCTGCTGCACAGACGGCGTCGCACGATCCTGATAGTCATCGTGTCACTTTTTGCCGTCCATGGCCTCTATCTCTTCACTCGATTCAAGCTCCATGTCAGTCCGCTATACCCCTTTCCGCTCGTCCCATTGAATCACCGCTGCTCTTGCATACTTCTCCCATTTCTCTTGTGTGTCGGTTCGCTCTCCCATTCACAAGAAGAACTCCGAACTCCGATACAATGTCACTCGTCTCCAATGGAATCGGAGTTCTTCTTGTGTGTCTGTTCGTGGTCCATGGCCACCTTCACAGTTCTTGTGTACCGTGTGTACCTTGTCTCACAGTTCAAACTCCTCGTCAGTCCACCACCCTATTGTTGAATCTCCTGCTGCTCTTCCGGACGAATCCCTGCCATTTCTTCTGCTCCGCGCACGCTATTCATGCTTCCCGAATCCCTGTTTGCCGCCCATGGCCTCTACCTCTTCTCTCGGTTCCAGCTCCATGTCAGTCCACCCTATCTTTGAATCTCCTGCAGCTCTTCCGGGCGAATTCATGTCATGCTTCCCGTTCGAATTCCTTGTGCTCGTCGCACGTTGACCATTGAATCCCCGCTGCTCTCATTCCTTCTTCTCCTGTCTCTGTCTCCCGTCCCTCCAAGTCAGTCCGTTCTCTACCTGTTCACTCAAGTTGAGCTCCAAGTCAGTCCGTTCTTTCCTCTCTCCTGGACCCTTCCTTTCTCCTCCTCCTCCTCCTCCTCCTCCTCCTCCTCCTCCTCCTCCTCCTCCTCCTCCTCCTCCTCCTCCTCCTCCTCCTCCTCCTCCCTCCTCCTCCCTCTTTTCCCCTCCTCCCCCTTTTTCCCTCCTCTTCCATCTTCCCCCTTCGTCTGCGTTGCCAACTTGCCGCGACTTCACCTGCATCCACTTTCTCTCCTCTTCTTTTGAGTCGACTCAAAAGCACACTTTCTTCCCTTTTCTTTTGAGTCGACACAAAAGCACACTTTCTTCCCTCTTCAAACCGTCGCTCACCCCTGTTCCACTGCTTTCACACTTACCCGCCTTATTCCTGTAATGCTTACCCAACTACTAGCGTCTTTCCTGTAACGATTACACAGCTACTAGCGTTTTTCACGTAATGCTTACCCAACTGCCAGCGTTTTTCATGTAATGCTTACCTCGTACCACAGGAAGTGGTGGAATGCTCCTTCCCCTCCTCCTTCTCCTTCTGCTTCTCTCTATTCCTCCCTCCCCTTCCGCGTTTCCCTCGCTCCTGCTATCGATGCTCACCCCCCTGCCTCCATTTGACCTTCTGTGTGAGCTTTTGTAAAAAAACTAGCATGTGAGAGTTCTCAAAGCCCTCGCTCCTGCTCCCGATGCTCATCCCCCTGCCTGAATTTGTCCTTTGATGCTTCCCTGCACCACAGGAAGGGGTGGAATGCTCCTTCCCCTCCTCCATTCTCCCCCTGCACGCCTCCACACCATCTCCGTTCTCAAAAGACACCAACGACAAGGTGAGAAGCACACAAGTGCGTATTCTGTTGAGCAAACTCAACACCCTTGCTGCTCCTTCCCCTCCTCCGTTCTCCCCCTGCACGCCTCCACACCATCTCCGTTCTCAAAAGACACCAACGACAAGGTGAGAAGCGTCGAAGACAAGTGAGAAGCATAGCTTCAAACTCCAACGACAAGTTAAGAAAGAAGCATACAAGTGCACACCCTCAACAAGCTACAATCATTGCTATAGCCAGAATGCTTCTGTCTCTGCGATATGTTTTTGAGACTAGGTCAAAAACCTATCACAGCCTAGCTTCATACTCCAACGACAAGGTGAGAAACGTACAAGTGCACACCCTCAACAAGGTCCAATCACTGCTACTTCCCTACATCCGTCCATGATGCTTCTGTCCTGTTTCCTCCAGCCATATCCTTTTGAGGCGCCTCAAAAGCTGTCCTGTTTCCTCCAGCCATATGCTTCCCTTTTGAGTCAACCCAAAGGTCAAAAGCTCCCATCAGTGCTACAACCATCCATGATGCTTCTGTCCGGTTTCCTCCAACCATATCCTTTTGAGGCGCCTCAAAAGCTGTCCTGTTTCCTCCAGCCATATCCTTCTCTTCCCCCACGGCTCTCGAGAGTCGACTCGAAACGCTGCCACGCTCCCCCCTCCCCCTTTCCTCTCCGAAATCCCCACTGTTAAGCGCCCTAGCTCTTTCCATTCTCCACCACTCCGAACCAGTCTTCACCTCTCCACACCACCTCTCCACCAAGGTTGAAATATCAGCTCACATCCCTTTCACGTTCACTCTCCCTTCCCCTTCCACCCCCCAACAACACCACTTCCCAATCCCCCAGTTCCTAGCATGGGCAACATCCCACGGCCTGTACCTGGCCCCCAAGGCACGAATCAAACTTACACCAGACATCCCCCCAGAGCCTCTCGAATCCGCTACAGACAGCCCCGCTATAAGGACCACTAGTGGCGCTGCTGGGTCTGGGACGAAGGCCAGTGGCAGCAGCAGCAGTGGCGGTGGCAGGGGGGATAAGAAAGGGGGAAAGGGGGAGAAGGGAGGGAGCGGGGTGGTGCGTCTGGTGCGAGGGCTGGTGGCAGAGGGGGATATGGAGGCAGGAGACACGCTGTGCAGGATACCGGTGAGTGTTGCGGTTTGCTAGTGTTGTTAAGAACGTCTTCTTTTAGCTTGCTATAAACGAAAGGGAGTGGAGTGGAGGGGTGCGTCTGGGTGGTGTGAGGGCGTGAGGTGGGCGGGAGAGACGTTATGCAAGATACTGGTTACTTCATGGCTCATGGCTTCTTATTGCTGCAACCCGGAAGAGACAGGCAGATGTATCTAATAACAGCCATCTACCTTTCAGATGACTGAAAGGTTTTCCTTCCTGTCTATGTTTCAGATGACTGAAAGGTTTTCCTTCCTGTCTACGTTTCAGATTACTATTATCAGAGGTAACGTCCGTCAGCCAGGAAGGAAGCTCAGAGGTATTAGCAGGAGGGGCCAAGGGGGCTAGAAGGAAGGCTGCTTAACCCGTTTATCTAGCATGTTAACCACTGCACCTCCCTTCCCCCACCTGCCTATTTCGCAGATGTCTCTGGCCCTCTGGTCCAACACCAGCCAGGAAGGGGACTCAGAGGCCGCAGGTGGGAGAGGAGGGGCAGTGGGGGATGCAGAAGGCGCGAAGGGGGGGAAAGGAGGCGGGAGCATGAGGGAGAGGATGAGGGAGCTGCGGCAGCGGGTGCTGCAGGGCAAGGCTGCTGCTGCTGGGATTGGTGGGGCAGAGAAGAAGCGTGGATGGGACGTGGTGGCCCTGCGAATACTCGAAGAGAAGTGAGTGCTTGAGTGCTGGGAAACGAGGGGGGAATGGGGAGGGAGCATGGGGGAGATTGTGAGGGAGAGGATGAGGGAGAGGACGAGGGAGAGGACGAGGGAGAGGACGAGGGAGAGGACGAGGGAGAGGACGAGGGAGAGGACGAGGGAGAGGATGAGGGAGAGGACGATTGGGAGAGGACGATTGGGAGAGGATTATTAGGAGAGGACGAGGGAGAGGACGAGGGAGAGGACGAGGGAGAGGACGAGGGAGATGACGAGGGAGAGGATGAGGGAGAGGACGATTGGGAGAGGACGATTGGGAGAGGATGAGGGAGAGGACGAGGGAGAGGACGAGGGAGAGGACGAGGGAGAGGACGAGGGAGAGGACGAGGGAGATGACGAGGGAGAGGATGAGGGAGAGGACGATTGGGAGAGGACGATTGGGAGAGGATGAGGGAGAGGACGAGGGAGAGGACGAGGGAGAGGACGAGGGAGAGGACGAGGGAGAGGACGAGGGAGAGGACGAGGGAGAGGACGAGGGAGAGGACGAGGGAGAGGACGAGGGAGAGGACGAGGGAGAGGACGAGGGAGAGGACGAGGGAGAGGACGAGGGAGAGGACGAGGGAGAGGACGAGGGAGAGGACGAGGGAGAGGACGAGGGAGAGGACGAGGGAGAGGACGAGGGAGAGGATGAGGGAGAGGATGATTGGGAGAGGATGATTGGGAGAGGATGAGGGAGAGGATGATTGGGAGAGGATGATAGGGAGAATACGCAGGAGCGTGCGGGAGAGGATGAGGGAGCTGCGGCAGAGGGTGCTACAGGGGAAGGCTGCAGCTGCTGCTGGGATTGGCGGTGATGAGAAGAAGCATGGGTGGGATGTGGTGGCCCTGCGAACACTTGAAGAGAGGTGAGTGCTTGAATGCTGGGAAATGAGGGGGAAGGGGTTGGAAGCGAGCATAAGGGAGAGAATTGCCATTCTTGTACTGAAAGCTGTCAACCATACGCACCACCCCCCGTTATCCTGCCATCTCCAATTCCACCTCCCATCTGCACCTCTTCGTCAAAGCCAGTTCTTTTATATTCTAATAGACGAAACTGTGCCGTCAAAGCTAAGGGGTGGTTCGGGGTTAGGGCTCACCACGGGCTTTTACAGCCCCCGGCAGCCTGTAGAGGTGTAGGGGTCACCCCCTCGCCCACCCTTACACCCCTCAGAGCAAAGGGCTTCGTATGAGGGATTTGTTGGGCGCATGTAGGGCGCCCCACACCACCCCTCAGAGCAAAGGGCGCATGTAGGGCGCCCGACATCACCCCTCAGAGCAAAGGGCGCATGCAGGGCGCCCTACGTCTGCTGGCTACCTCGCTCCCTTCGTCCTTGAATAATCTTCCTGAATGGATATATTCATGTATTAATCTCACACACCCACCTCCGCATTGTAACCCCCTCAGAGCAAAGGGCGACGAATCCCCTTGGGCGCCTTACATCCCCTTGGGCGCCTTACATCCCCTTGGGCGCCTTACATCCCCTCCCTGCCGCCCTGGCCTTCCCAACCTGCTCAGGGCAGGCTGTTCCTGGACTTGAAACCTGCTCCCACCCCTTGGCTCACTTGTACCCACTCCTACCTCTCACTTACACCCCTCAGATCAAAGGGCGACGCCTCTCCCTGGGCACCCTACATCCGCTCCCTGCCTCCTTCCGTTCCTCTCCCCATCTTCCTCCCTCCTGAGGTAAGCCCGTGCAAATTCGACAGTTGACAGAAGGAGTTTGCCGTTGTTTAAGGTATTCTGGCTTGTACGAAGGTAACTTCAAGGGTGAACTGGCCACTGTCGGCCACCCCAGTGTGCACAATTGGTTTCACAATTCATTCTGATCTGAGACCAAGACACAGTTGATGTATGCATAAGTCCCATCTCTTAAACCAGGAAACCAACGAGATGTACCCCTCACACACAAGGGGCTTCTTGCCATGCAGTCTTGCTGTCTTTCCCCTGCTGCTGTTCTTATGTGCAGAAGGTAAGAGACGGTGCACTTCGCATCGAACCCGGAGCTGGTGAAACGAACTGACCTGGAAAAAATCAACAAGACATAGCACGAGCACATAGGGCTTATTTGTGTGACTTTTGAGGCGCCTCAAAAGTCAAGACATAGCACGAGCACATAGGGCTTATTTGTGTGCGCTGCTTTCCCCCCTGCTGAACCGCTGTGCTGCGTATTTATATTGTGTTGCTGTGTTATTTTGTCAGGAGGAGGGCGAGGTGCAGTGGGCGTCGACCCTGGAGCAGGTGAAGCGGATGAATGAGGAGATCCGAGAGACTTACCACAAGCACCACGATTCCACTCATCCCAACCTTTCCTTTGATGAGTACAGTAAGATTATGGATCAAGTTGGAATGATTGCACTTGGATCAACCAAAAAAGTTCGAGTTGGGTCTCTAAGTTCGGGTTGAGGGTTTACGGCTTAGGGTTAAGGGTTCTTAGGGCAGTCTCAATGGTCCACAGCCATGCATTACTCTCCCTGCGAAAATACATATTCTATCTCGCTCTTTCTCTTCTTCTCTCGCTTCTCGCTCCCCTCCCATCCCTCCCTCCCAGCATGGGCGGTCTCAATGGTTCACAGCCGGGCCTTCACCTTCCCACTAAAATCTGCATACACTCGCCTTCCTCACATGCATTCCCTCCCCTTCCTACCCTCCCTCCCTCCCTTCCTCCCAGAGTGGGCCGTCTCAATGGTCCACAGCCGGGCCTTCACCCTGCCAGTCAAGCCGGGCGGCAAGTTTGAGCAGTTTGTGATGATGCCGTTCATGGATGCGATCAACCATCATTACAACAACCATGTGAGTCAGCAACAGAGCCGTGTGAGTCAGCAACCGAGCCCTGTGAGTCAGCATGAGGTCAATCTGGCTCATCTTGCCCTGCTTGGCCCCAACACAACACCCCACCATCCTCCCCTCCTCCCCTCCTCCCCTCCTCCCCTCCTCCCCTCCTCCCCTTCTCCCGCCCATCACTCTCTTCCAGATGGACTGGATGGCAAGGCCTGTCTCATCCGAGGGGGTGCTGGAGATCCGACTGAGGCGCTCAGCCAAGAAGCTTATTTCGCGTCTCGCTTCTCTTGGTATTCCCCCCCGCTCGCCCTCCCCCCTCTTCCCAATCCCATTCCCCAACCAAGATGGACTGGATGGCAAGGCCTGTCTCATCTGAGGGGGTGCTGGAGATCCGACTGAAGCGGCCGGCGAAGAAGGGCGAGCAGCTGTTCACCTCGTTTGGGCCCCGCAGCAACGAAAACCTCTTTCTCTACTATGGTGGGTGTGATTGCTATGATTGCAATGTCACCGTGGCATGTGTTCTTCCTCTACTGTGGTCAGTGTGATGGCACACATAACTGTCATTACCACATGGCCGTCATTCACCTCCGCTGACTTCCATTGGCACCCGTTGAAATCGACAACGCCCGTTGGTTACCCGACCGCTTCTACACGGACTGCTGCTCCAACTCCCTCCAGCGCCACATGGCCATCATTCACCTCCACTGACTTCCATTGACACCCATCGAAATCGACTGTCCAACCCCATGTTCTCCCTTCTGTGGGCAGGCTTCATCCTAGGCAACAACCCCTTCGACAGCCTCTCACTCTTCCCCACCTTTGAGGACAGCGTCCGTTGGTTACCCGACCGCTTCTACATGGACTGCTGCTCCGACTCGCTCCTGTGCCACATGGCCGTCATTTTCCTCCGCTGACTTCCATTGACCCCCATTGAAATCGACTGTCCAAACCCATGTTCTCCCTTTTGTGGGCAGGCTTCATCCTAGACAACAACCCCTTCGACAGCCTCTCGCTCTTCCCCACCTTTGAGGACGGTGTGCGCTGGTTACTCGACCGCTTCTACATGGACTGCCGCTCCGACTCCCTCCAGCGCCACATGGTGGTTGCAGCCATCGCAGGCGCGTCCTCCTCCACTGCATCTGCCGCTGTTGCCTCGGCAGCAGCCACCTCCTGCTCTCTCGTTTCCTTCACCCAGGCCTGGAAACGCGCCCGCGCCGCCCTCGACCGGCCCTCGTCGCACGATGCCTCGAGGGGGTTTGAGAGGGATCGGTCGCTCTGGTGGGACCTGATGAACAGCTGGGCCGCGTTTGGCTACGAGGTGCTGCCGTACCGGGCAGGTCCGGACGTACGCCCGGCTGGGAGGATCGACCCGAGCCTGCTCGCCGCACTTGCTTCGGTGGCCCGGTTTGCAGCTTCGGCGCCGAACCGGACGCTCCCTGCTGGTGCGTTTCCTAGGTGCCCCCCTGGATGGAGGAGAGAGGGGAAGAGTGGGGTTGGTTGGGGGAGTGGGGGGGTTGGGGGGGAGGGGAAAGCGGGTTTGCTGTGGCCAAGGTGTTGCCGAACTAAGGCATGGAGGGTAGTGTGCCGCAGTGATGGTGTCGGAGGGGCTGGGTCAACAGAGTCAACGGAGTCAGCAGGGGATGATGGGGAGGATGAATTGGGGGATGACGGAGAGGTGCAGCCACGGGATGGCTCTACAGCTGCAGCAGCATCTGGGGATGCAAGGAAAGCAGCGTTCAAAGCAGCGAAAGCCGCAGAGGATGAGGCGGCCGTGGCAGCAGCGGAGTATGTGAAGCTGCTTATAGTGAGGCGGTGCCGCGAGCTGATGATTGGCATGGCCACACCTGCGCACTATGACTGGTGGCTGCTGCGGGATGTGGAGCGGGCGGGAGGGAAACTTCTGGGAAGCGATGGAGGGGTGGATGGGACTGGAGCCAGGAGAGTTGGCAACAGTGGTCCTGGCAGCAGCAGCAGCAGTGCTGGTGGTGGCGGTGGTGGTGAGAAGGATGGGAGTGGAGGGGAATTGGGAAGGGAGGGGGAGATGCAGTGTAAGTTCCGGGGGCAGGTTTTGTCGCCGCAACGGTTGCTTGCAGTCCAGTATCGGCTCAATAGGAAGGAGATGCTGATGGCTGTTATAAGAAGGCTAGAAGCTGGACTGTAGGAGAGGTAACTGTACCTGTCTTTTAAATCGTACCTTAATAAACAATTATGCCCTCGATTTGTAGATGGGAGCTCGCCTCTTGTGCTCATTGTACAAGTTACGTTCCTTGCATTTTGAATAATCGCATTCAAGAGGGTCTCTTGTATGTCCTTGCAGGTGAAATTAAGAGTCACAAAGGAGTACCACGACCATAACTTATAAAGAAGCTGCTTACACCAGCAAGCAGCCCATTGACGTGGATTCCTCGTCAATTTCGTAGACCCACCATGAGCGATCTCTCCCTGCCCACATTTTCCGTCGACTTTCATCCGGCACGTTACAGCTGCCACGTGCTACTCCCTGACTGGCGCGTCAGGCATGACAACCAAGCGTGCCGGATGACCGAGCCACGATGGAATGTTCTGTTCTGTCCAAATGTACCCCTCCGCCTTTCAAATCAATGAGCGGTGCATTAGGTTTGTATTGGTTTAAGAACGGTACAAGAATACTAAGCTTCGGTTTCGTGACATTTGAGATGAATGTCAGGGCTCGCATCGCATCCCATGACGCCCGCAAGAAACTGATTTGTCTTCAATTTCAGCGCTCTGTGCATCCAAGCACCCCCTCCACTTCCCTTTCTGCAATTCGCAGAATTCATGCTCTTTCAATTAGCATGCTGCTCCCTCCATCACCATTGTTTTTCCGCTGTTTGGAGCGTGCACTTGGCGTTGCTCTTCACTCGGCGATTCGTTTTTCTTCTTCTTCTTCTTAATATCTGGCAATAGTAACGCGTTTTTTTTTAATATCTCTCAAATTCCGTAATTGTCTAATTCATTGATTCCCTAATTTCCGTAGTTCCGCTAATCGGCGGGTAGCTCCGTGATATTGTGGGTCTTCGTGACGCAGCCCTGGCTCGCCCGCCTGGTGCGTATCTGAGGATGACCGCGTCGCTCGCGTCGTCCTTTCTCGCAGCGCCCCACCCCCGCGCCTTCCGCTCTCACATCACCGGCGGCGTTATGCTGCCTACGTGGACAGGTAGCACACGAGTCAGTCACCTAGTTAACTATCTGGTGTCACCAGGCTTGCGTCTCAAGATTAGATTGATATCACGCCTTTCTGCTCTCACATCGCCGGCGCTATGTTGCCCACATGGATTGGTAGTCGTGGATTTCTTCACCGCAACGGCGATACTCCAAAATCCTGGGTGATAAAATGGCTCCATGGCTGATGCTAGGGGAATTTTGTCTTGAAGCGTTTCAAAACAACTCAGGAAGCAGAATAGGGCCCACGCTGCGTTGTAAATATGCCATTCGGAAACCAGTCCTTGATATTGCCGATGCGTGCGACGCTCAAGCACATCATTTCCTCTCTCAGGAATTTCGAATAAGTCTTGAGAAACCAGCGCTGCGTCGCTCGAGAATGACTCCAGTGGCGTTGCGTCGTTCAGGTTTATCTTTTCGCTCAAGCAAATCTCCTCTCTCAGATTTCCCCTTCCCCCGTTTTCCTTCGCATGTCGCAGCCCCGAGTGGCCGTATAATCTCTTGCAACGTCGCACATCCCTCGCGCACGTCCGTCTTTGCCCACGTCGCCGGCGCCTCCTCTGGACCTCCGGCCTGTCGCGATTCAGCGAACACCACCTTCCCTTCGCAAGGCTCTTCGCCCGAGCAGCAGCACTTAGCCAGCGTTTCGCAAGCCCCGCTTCCAGCGTCGTTGGTAACACCTGCGAAATCGCTCGCGAACAGCAGCAGCAGCAGCATCGCCGCCTCGTCGCTCCTGGCTGGGACGCTGGGGTCGGCTGCGTATCTCGCGCTGCGAAACGCCTTATCACCCTCCGCGATCCGGCCCATGATTCCACTGGGTCCTCCCAGCGGGATCGTCCCGCGTGCTACAAGCGTAAGTAAAGTATTTTTTAAGACGTCTTGAAACACGGCCACCGCAAGTTTAAGCTTTTCGTAAGGTTAGGCTTTTCCTAAAACACAATGAGATTCCCTTCTCAATCATCTGAACAGTAAACCAATGCTCCCTCGTCACCCTTCCTCTCCCCCCTCCCCCCTCCCCCCCCACTGCCCCCTCTCTCAATCTCTTCCCAACCTTGCAGGCGGCACCTGCAGCCCTGGCAGCAATGGCGGCTACCTCCCCCCGGGCCACGCAGGAGGAGGCGCTTCTCATTGTCGCTCCCCCCACATGCCCATGCTCCCATGCCCCACCGCTTTACCTTGCAGGCGGCACCAGCGGCACTGGCAGCAATGGCGGCCACCTTCCCCCGGGCCATGCAGGAGGAGGCGTTTCTGAGGGCGGTGGCTGCTGAGCTGAGCAAGCTGGGCTTTAAGAGGTGAGGAGCTGAGCAAGCTGCGCTTTAAGAGGTGAGGAGCTGAACAAGCTGGGCTTTAAGAAGTGAGGAGCTGAGCAAGCTGGGCTTTAAGAGGTAAGGAGCTGAGCAAGCTGGGCTTTAAGAGGTGAACGAACATGTATTTCCTCTTGCATGGTTAAAATTAAAGTTTCTCACACTCTAGTCGTTTGTAGCTACCTTTGCCACATGCTTCTTGCTTCCAACAACTATATCGCCCCCTCTGCTTTTCCTGCTCCACTTATGCACCTCCACTCCTCCAACACCTGTTCTTCCCCTCTCCCCCTCGACCCCATCCCCACAGGACCAACAGCATTGCTCTGGTCAACACATGTCGCGACGAAGTGTGCCGCCCGATCGTGAGCCTGATAGACCGGCAGTTCGGGCTGTCGTTCAACCTTTCAGGGCTGGGAGGGCTGGTGAACTGCGGCACCACGGGCTTTAAGGCCGCCATGTCGCACTCGCCTGAGTTTCACGAGCCGGACGGTTCGGTGCGAGAGAGATGTGAGTACAAGGTGAATTTGCGGGTAATTTTCCTGTGGCACAGTGTGACAAAGTGTGGCAATTTGGACGGCCCTTCAACCTCTCGGGCCTGGGAGGGAGGGCTGGTGAGCTGCAGCACGATGGGCTTTAAGGCCGCCATGCCGCACTTGCCCGATGGTTCTGTGCGAGAGAGATGTGAGTGTGAATGGGGGGTGTGAGTGTGAATGGGGGATGTGAGTGTGAATGGGGGATGTGAGTGTGCATGGGGGGTGTGAGTGCATGGGGGGCGTGAGTGTGCATGGGGGGCGTGAGTGTGAATGGGGGGTGTGAGTGTGGTGGCAACGCCAGGTGATTGCCAACCTCTCAGGCCAGGGGGGGCTTATGGATTTGCGGCAAGGCAGGCTTTAAGGGCCCCTTGTCGAATTCCCCACGTGTCTATCAGTGTGTCAGTCGAGGTGGGCTTGCTGCCTCGAAGAGCCAGAGGCTGACTGTCAAGTGCCAGAGGCTGACTGTCAAGTGCCAGAGGCTGACTGTCAAGAGCCAGAGGCTGACTGTCAAGTGCCAGAGGCTGACTGTCAAGTGCCAGAGGCTGACTGTCAAGTGCCAGAGGCTGACTGTCAAGTGCCAGAGGCTGACTGCCAAGAGCCAGAGGCTGACTATCAAGAGCCAGAGGCTGACTGTCAAGAGCCAGAGGCTGACTGTCAAGAGCCAGAGGCTGACTGTCAAGAGCCAGAGGCTGACTGTCCAGAGCCAGAGGCTGACTGTCAAGAGCCAGAGGCTGACTGTCCAGAGCCAGAGGCTGACTGTCCAGAGCCAGAGGCTGACTGTCCAGAGCCTTCGTACACCTCTCTGTCAGTTCCTCTTTCCTCCCCTTCAAATTCAAGAGAGTTTTTTCAGAGCAAGAATTTTTCTCTGCCAAACGATAAGTGTTTGACCAGCCCGCTGCCACGTATGGCTAAAACTACCACCAAGTGGTGTTCTTTCCTCTTTCCTCCCCTTTCTTTCCTCTTTCTTCCCCTTTCTTTCTTTCCTTCCCTCTCTCTTTCCTCCCCTGTCTTTCCTCTTTCCTCCCCTTTCTTTCTTTCCTTCCCTCTCTCTTTCCTCCCCGTTTTTTTCTCCTTCCCTCCCTCTTTCACTGCGGACACCTTCTTCCTCGTTGATTGCCCCCTCTTACCTCTCCCTCCCTGCCCTCTTCTCCCATTCCAGACATCTTCTTCGCCTTCCCCCACGTGTCCATCGGCGAGTCGGGCGAGGTGGGCTCTTTACTGCGACGAGGCAGGGGGCGGCCGTCCAGTGCATGCGGCGCGCTGATCGCCATTCAGAGCGATTTGAATGAGGGGAAGGGGAGCAAGGAGGACCCCTTTGACGAGGAGTATGTGCTGCTGAAGAGAAAAGTCTCCAGCAAGGTAACACAACATGGGGTTACCTACTTTGGAAAGTGTGTGTGCGTATGTCGGGTTACCAGAAAGAGAGCAAGGAGGGCCTTTTCGACGAGGAGTATGTGCTGCTGAAGAAAAAGGTCATCAGCAAGGTAAGGCGACATACCGTCCATTGTTGTGCGATCAATCAAGCTCTGTTTCTTTCCTGGTAGTTTCTCCCTCCCTCCCTCCCCCTCTCCCCCCCCACACCCCGCTCCGACCAATCCCCTCTTTTCAATTTCGTTTTTTTTCTCGTCAATTATCAATTCCCCTTCCGTAACAGGTGACCAATGGCGGCCCGCCTCTGTCACTTGTACAGGTAACGCGGGCGGCACTGGCTACTATTAACGAGGACCTGGAGAAGCTTATATCGCTGACGGTGGACCCTGCTACCGCCGACTATGCAGTCGTCACGGGTGTGCAGATACACTCTGGAAATCAGGTGAAAATGGCCTTAAGTAGCATGTGTATGCGCACCATGTATATTCCACTTGTAGGGAAGGGGAAGGGGACAGCAGGGGAAGGGGTGCTGTTATTTTCTGTGCGAATCGCTGGCTTTAATTCCCCGTTTTGTTTGGTTGGCAGATTCCTGGCGAGCCGTTTCGAATTGAACGCACCTGCGACTACATATCTCCTGATTTGATGTACGCTGTAGTGCGAGGCCAGCGATACAACCTTAAATTGCAGGCAAACAAATCCAGACTTGCTGCAGAGAGCCTGGCTGCAAGTATTTGATGTGCATAGAGGACACTAGTAGCAAAAAACAATTGCTTTTCGTCTGCAGCTATGTACATAGCCTTTGTATATATGCCTTGTTATGAACTGTTATGTCTTGTGCCGGGTAATTCAAAAGCGGAGGTTTGATAGGTGAGCTGATTGTCTTGTTGCTCGTGTAGC